CCCCAAAACCCCAAAACCCCAAAACCCCAAAACCCCAATTTTATTAAACAACATTGCTGTTTTAATATGGATGGTTTTTAAGACCGTTATTCACTGATCCTCCTCCTGCGATTCAGTAAGCATCTTGGTGTCAATTTCACTTTGATATTCCGAGGTGCGATCCTTGAACTGAACCTGGTAGAGAAATTCGTCGTTGACTTTGAGTTCGTACTGGAGTTCAGAAGCAATCCCATTACTGGAATTCTGGGGATCGATGAACACAAAGGGTTCCGGAATAACCTTCTTTGACTGACTCAGTAATTCTTCTGAAGGAGCTCTACTCAGGTCTGAGTTTTATTGATACTTTTGTTACGGGATATATCCACTTTGGGCATGAAATATTTTCCGAATTCGAATTCATTCTGGGATGAGGAATCATTCTCGAATTCAGATAATTCTGATGAAGCATTGCTGAGGTTCAAACCTCTGTGGCTGGAGCATGCTGGGCTTGAGGCTGTCTTCTTCATATTCATTTTTGATTTGAAACTTTTTTTATTACGCTTTCGATGCTGATGATGCAAGTCATCGCCAAGTAATTTGTGATTGATGTAGTTATCAAGAACGCTATCGCTTAACTTGACTTTGTCTGAATTTTAGCAGCTGAGCGTACCTATACGTCGTCTGGATTTGAGCCTAAACCCCTTATTCTTCGAATGGTCAAGATGCTTGATCAGCTCCTTACTGTACTTGAACTTTCTAAAGAGTGACAAGGTTCATTACTGTAGATTATTTCTGTATTTATGCTTGTCACTCTTGAGTTTGCGTTTGAAATGTTTGAAATCTATTTTTGGGAAATTTGAAGTATCCTATGAAACTTATTCAAAGGAATATACAATAATGATTTTGTGATTTTTAGACTTGGTAATCCATGCCTTCTTGTTAAACCTAATAAGATGAATTGTGGGAAATACTTGACTGGATTCATCCTGATTGGGGTTGAGTCCTTATTGCGCTCAGAGTCTATTAAACTTCCTCTGGAAACTTTGCTAGCCTTTTTGACGACTTTATTTAGCTTTTGAATACCTGACACTTTTTTTCTAAAATTTCTGGGTTATAATATCCAAAAAGTTAAGTTAATGTATGGATAGATGATAAACTAGAGCTCTCAACTGCTCTTAAGTTTCATGGCCAGTCTAGCATGATGGTAGCTATCCAATCAGCTGACTTAAGTCAGTTACTTCGTCAAGAAGGAGGACACTCAAAAGTAGAACAATGAATAGCATTGTACCTCTAAGTTTGTGAATAAATTTATGGGATCTTTTAAATTTGGAAGAGATTTATTATGTGTCAACACTTCTGGTTGACTTGTTAGGAATCAGCATAAGTTTATTATGGCTAAGAAAATTTGTCCTCTACAAAGGAAGTTTACACTAAAGAGCTTCAATGCTGGTTTCTTTAGGAGTGTAAGTCAAAGAGGAAAATTCCAATGGATTTAACTTACTTTCTGTGAAGTATTCGGGAGCATAAACCTAAAGAATTATAGGCCAGTTTTTACCTTAAGGAACTAGATTTTTCACGAATGAATGCCTTCTGTCTTCTGTACAAATTGGGGCTACTATCCTCTATCATATTATTTTTCAATTTTTATGATTTATGAGGGGTTTTGGGGTTTTGGGGTTTTGGGGTTTTGGGG